CGCCTTAACTGCTGTCCGACGATGGCGAGGGCGAGAAACCCTCTCAGACATCAATCCTTTCGGAAACCATCAAGCGCACCACGCCGAGGGCTTTTTCGAAGATAGCTATCACGATTGGCGGCATCCAGTCTCAGGTCACGGGGACTTTGACGAGCAACGGCGTTGCGATCTACGACGAGAGTCTGAGGGCGAGTCGCGCTGGGAGACCGAATTTTCGGGTAGAAATCCTAGAGTTCTCTAGCGGGCTTGATGCGGCCAAATTCCTCAATTGGTGGGCCACCCTTAAATGCGTGCTCGCGTTTAAGGATGTCCCGGATGATCGACGAGTCGCGCTCGTCGCAAAGCGGCTTCGTGGCCGAGCGGCCGTATGGTGGATGCAACTTAAAAGCGCTCGCATCATCAAGGCAAGACAAAGATCTCGACTTGGACAAAGTTTCGTAAGCATTTAGAACGCGAATTCTTGCCTTTTAATTATGTTCGTTCAGTTTCTCAGCAATTCCAGAATTTGAGGCAAGGGCAGCGTTCGGTTGATGATGACATGGAGGAGTTTAATCGACTCCTCACGCGTGTGGATGTCCATTGTCGACCAAATCGTTTCGCGGTATGTGGGTGGGCTGTGTGTTCCTATCCAGGACACATTCAATCTATTTATATTGGATTCAGTTTTGGATGCACATTAATGGGCCATCCTTGAGCACTTGGCTCGTAGGGCGGGCCAGTCCTTTATTTCTTTGTCACGAGCTGGCGCGACGATCGGTGGTAAAGGCACAGGCATGCAGTCCGGGAGCGCAGCGACTGGCGCGGGTTTCGCACCGCGGGCTGGGAGCGCGACAGCGCCCAGCAGAGGTGTTCAACGCGCGGCGGAGGCCGAGACTGGGGGTCATGTTGCAACGACATAAAATTGATCATCTCCCTTATATATAATTTCAGAACGCGCTGAACCTAAGTGGCAGTTTCGCACGCTTCGTAATTTTGCATGGCAAAATATTATGCTTTGTAATATGGCTTAGATAAATACTACTAATTTTTTATACCAAATAACTTAGGTTCGGATTACCATATATATATACACTTATTTAATATATTTAAATCATTCTATATAAATCTAATTATTACCTTCTTTCTATAATGTCATATAATCTTATTATCCGAATTTTGTTCTTTGTTCATATTATTCCCTTATTTGTTTTAAATAAAAATATTATAAATAAAATTAATGATGTATATAAATTAGTTTTCAGAATTTAAAATAATATTGTTAATTCACTATTTATTACAAATTTTTATATATTGTTCTTTATTATTTTTTCCAACTTTAACAAAATTTATATATTTTTAATTTTTATTGTACATTTATTTATTTTATCAACTACCCGTGTAATACATGGGTATTGTACTAGTATATGTTCATATCTAGTATGTTTATGAATAACTAGTGTGTGGCCCGTGCGATGCACGGGAAAACAAAATTACGATTATATTATAAATTAAGTATATATATATATATATATATATATATATATAATAAAATATTATTTTATTCACATAAATATTAATAAAATGATATATAAATATTCATTAATCATTAAACATGTTGTCATAAAAGTATTGTTAATATGATTATTTGAAGTTTGGACAATTGGACTACGTCACATTGACGTAATAAAGTATTCTCAATATTAAAATTTATATTTAAGTTCAACAGTCGATTTGGTATGGTCAAACTGATACATAACTTAGTCATCTGGTGACATCCAAATTGTGTCAAATTTTTTTACTATTTTAAATATCACCTAAAAGTAATTCAATCAACCTGGGCAGTACCCTAATTAAATCACCCGATTGATCCAAAGAAATTTCCTTATTTTCTTTAAATATATTTAATTTTATGGAATCAAAATATTTTATGATTCATATAATAAATGTCTAAACCAAATGATAGTATATTAAGATTATAAATTATATATCTAATGATGAATTAGTTAATTTTATTTTATGCATGTTAATAAAAAATAAACGTAGTAATTTTCAATAAATTAAGATTAATTGATAGATTATGCAATTGAGAAAATATTTTTAGCGTTCATTTTTTTTTTTCTTGAAAGACACAATATAAAGACCGAGATTCTCAAATTTTTGTTATATTTTGAATTGAGATTTTATAAATATAGAGACCAAGATTTTAATGTTGTTCGTTGTTTATAAGAAAAAAAAAATAAAAATAAAAATATGCACACATAATAACATGAAATATATAGACCGAGATTTTACACGGACAAATTTAATGATTTTGTGAAAATAAAAAAATGGACAACCCGATTTATGTAAAATTGTATATAACAAACACCACATTACACGGATAGATTTAATGTTGCACGCGTGTTTTAAATGAAACCAAAAAAAAATGTTGACAGCATTTAATGTTGCACACTTGTTTTTAGGGGAAAAAAATTGCTATTAATAAGAAGTAAATTAATGCTAACTAACTTCGACTAATAATTTGAGCTGCCATTTTTAAAAAATGATAATTCTTATTATATATATATATATTCAAACTTAATTATTTATGTGTTAGAAGTAAATTAAAAGTTATCCAAGTTAAAGTGACGAAGTATAAAATTTTGTCAAATAGGACCACGAAACTTGCGAGTCTACCACTTATGTTCAGCACATTCAAAATAGAGGGATTTTTAGTGGCAATCCCTTTTTTCTATTAAAAAAAAAAAAATCTAACGCCAATCATGACAATTTCATGTGGTAAATAACCACGAAAACGATTACCCATGCCAGAAATCAAACCAAGAACTGCAGAACAAAAGTAAAAAAGAGAAGAACTATAAAATAAAAAGTACAGCATGATTCAAAGTTTCATAATAGTACTGGAAATCTACTTACCAACCAAAAAAAAAAAAACCAATTTACTTTCAGCTGCAAGCAAAATAATGAGGATACTCCAGGTACAAAATGAGAAATGCAGCTGAGAGTTACCTTCTTTGTAGTTTGTACACCTTAAATCCACTCCATGGATGAAAAACAAAAACCACCATCTTAATTTACCATCCAAAGTAACCCACATTCAAATCGGACCCTAGACCCAAACTGCGCCTAGCCCACTCAAACAGCCTGCCGCGCCCAAGCCCATTTTCTAGGCCCGACCCACGAATGGCCGACCTCCTCATGCTCTGCACGTCACTAGTGTTCCTCTCACTCTCCAACTTCTTCCATTTCTCGGCCTGCGTGGGGTCCACTTCCCGGGGCCTCCCCAAAGGGTGCTCCGACTTCACGTGCCTCTTCATCTGTTTATATGTCCCGGAAAACGAGCAATCGTGATGTGCACAGTTTCTTTTCCTTAAGTTGAGGAGTTTGCGTTCGGGTTTGACCACGGTCCACCCTTTGACCTGTCCACGGCAGAGAGGGCACGGGACCTCATCTTGTTCGAAATCAACATCATCATCATTGGCGTAGGCTTTGGTGTATTGTTCAAGGCAGTTTGAAAATTGGTGGCTGGTAGCGCACATGTAGGGTCGGCACCCATTTTCGTGAGACGAGCAGAGTAAGACGACTGCATTGTGGGGAGACTCCAGGCAGACGGAGCATACAGCGTTTTCCAATTCTTTGTTCTCCGATGGCTTGCACTTGTTTGATGATTTTTTCACGGATAGGGAGTTGGTTTTTCCCTTTCTCTGCAGCTTGTTGGATTTTGCCATTTGTTTGATAGGAAAAAAACTTAACTGCACCAACCGAAAAAAAATAATCGAACCACAAGGGGTAAACAAGAACAAATGTGCAATCATCGAAATAAGATTAGTATCTTCTTTCCCTCCACGATTAGTTAAAGAAGTAAATATGTTAGTGCTTCTCTTTGCGCAGTGTGATAGATTTGTGTGGGAATCTATGATAAAATTAAAGATTATTATAAAACCATGCTATAAATTTTATGACCCAACCACAAGATAGAAAATTAACCTTCTTTTTTTCCGACAGGCAACAGGATTTGTTGAGTCAAACGGAACGAAATGGCTTTTAGACAACAAGAGTTCTTTCAGTGGGGCAAAACGTTTTTTCAGTAAACTAAGATGGTTGCAAGTAACTTTGAAAAGGTTCACCTTTCAAAAGATATCAGTTAGTATAACATACACAGACTAACTACGGGTAATAGCTAATACCAAATAGTTACTGAATTTTCACAACACTAATCACAAACAACACATTTTCTTTTTCAAATTACATATATACGGAGCACGGACTCCATCCACTGCTGAGCCCTAAACACATTTGAAATAAACTAAAGCAGTTATTAGAAATGCAATTAGTTAAAGACAACTTCCGCCGATCAACATCAATCAATATCAAACTTAACTTTGTTAAATCATAAGCATATAGATCAAACTTTGCTTAACACAACACCTACGCGACTACGCCATAAACCCAAGTAAACTGAGGGAAAGTTATCACCATTTGGCACAACCAAAAGTAGCCAGAGTTTTCAGTCCACTAACAGCAAAAGCAACAGTCTAACAAGTCAATATTTTCTTGGGCAAAAACATAGCATCAAATTCAAACATCAACCAGAAAAACAAAGCATTCTATTCACAACCACCTCACTGTTCAGACAACTCTTACCAGAATATAGAAGTCAAAAACATAATTCAGGGAAAACCCTTTACACTACAAGCAGCAGAAATGATGAGTTAATGAAGGATAACACATAAAGGGGAAAAAGAACATGCCCTTATCTTCCTTTCTATTTTCTTTTCTAAAAGCAAGAATTTAATGGGCTATTCGATTCTAAACAATAAACCCATTATCATATCCATGGAGCAATTAAAAGAACCTACAGTATAGGAGATTTGAAATCAAGTTTACCTGAAAATGAAGAAGTGTAGAGATTCAATCTTTAGTGGAGCAAATGTAAATCGTGAAAAAATTAAACGGGAGCAGCCAAATTTGATGGGGTTTTTTCACTGGGGTTTTCGTTTTTCTCTTTCAGAATTATAGTTGAGCATTGTATTGAACTATTTATGCTTTTGAGAAATTTCTTCGGGAACGAAAATTTTATGGTGTGATGGGATATAAAAATAAAAAATTCTAATAAAAATCAATCACTTTTCACTGCTTTTTAATTTAAAATCTAATTAAAATTGTACTCAATCATATTATTTTTAATATTATTAGTACTTAAATAATATTAGTACGTAACCCGTGCGATGCACGGACTGTATACTTTTTAAAAAACATACTGTAGTACCGGTGCGCAGTACGGTGAGATTATTTCCTCAAACCTTTTTGTCTAAACTTTATTTAATATTTTTGTTTATAAATTAATAATTTGATTGTAATTGTAATAGATAAAAAATAGAGAGAAATACAAATTACCAAAAAAAAAAAATAAAAAAAAAAATCATATATTATTAAACACTTCTCTATACACAACATTATTGGTTTGATTTGCTTTCAAACCTTCTTCTCCACAAATTAAAATTTTAAGACCCTTTCTATTAGTAACACGGGAGACAGCGACATATAACTGGCCATGACTAAAAACTGGTGATATGGCCACATAAGGATAACCCGGTCCAGAGGCTTATTACTCAACCGGCGAACCACTCGAATTACTCGCACGTCGACATGACTCCGTCGACATGCCCAAATCGACTTTCCAAAGGTCGATTCTACTAAGAGCAATCAAGAAGAAGCCGAGATTGATCTAGTCGACTCTTGCAAGTCGACCTTAATCTACCGACTTTCTCTAATCGACATCAATGAAAGAGGAACAGCAAAGCTCCCGGTCATCCAGATACTCTAAGTCGACCCCCAGAAGTCGACTGAACTAAGACGACTCTCTGAAGACGACCCCGCCTCAAAGAACTAGTCAAGCGTAGCCTCTGAATCCGCACATATCCACGAGTCGACTTCCTAGATCTCGAAGTCGACTTCACATACCTTAAACGACAAAGATGTGATGACGATTCATCACACTTGCAACATATCCAAAGTCCTCCACATTGGGAAAGATAAGAAGGAATCTTGCGATGATTCAGCAACAAAGGGGAGACGAATCGACAAGGGTATTTCGGACTTTCTAGGTCCACCGACTGGGGTATTTTGGGCACTTCGCGTAAGTTTTCACTCCTATATAAAGGAGATGAGATAACCCTAAAACCCTAACTCTCATTCATTTCCACTCTCCCCTATAGCTGCTGCGCAGCCCCTCTTCATCACTCTCATACTGACTTGAGCGTCGGAGGCTCTACGCCGGAAACACCTCCGGCGTTGAGTTTTTGCAGGTATCCTTGCGGTCTAGCAACGGTTTAAAGACGGTTCAAGCAGATCTGAGCTCACAACCACCGGTTTACTCCAGATCTGGAAGTAGACCCACCGGTTTCTTCAAGAATAAGCCAACATGAGATAATGATTGACCTTGACTCTTGTTTATAGTCATTGCATATGAAACCACAATGGGGAACTGCCTTCTTTGGAATATGAATGGTACTCTAACATCTGAAGGAGTTATGGTCATTCGAGGTATCAAAACTTTATCACCTGCATGATCGCCAGTAAGAATTTTACACTCGAGAACATGATTGGAGAGTTTGGTCACAACCAATTGTGTACCATTACAGAGTCCCATTGAGTGATCCATATTCCGCAACAACATAACTGGAGTTCCGACCTTCAAATTCAACTCATGATTCGGTGTTCCAGAACACTTGATAGTATTCACGAACTCAGGAGTGTGGAGTTGTGCCAGAAAGTCGGTATTGGAGTCAGATTTACACGTACTGTCTGAGCTTAAATACGTGCGTCCTTCAGTCAAATTCAACGACGACATGTATGCATTTATAGATTCTACGATCTCGAGTGTTGGCGCGAGTATAGCCCTATCTTTCAAGTAACTTGGATCATCGGTTGCATTCTTGAACATCGGATACGTGCTTTCAACGATTTTTGCAATTGGATCGTCGGATGGCTCTAGTAATAGATCATCTGGTATGTCTATCGGAGCACATCCATCATTTGTACCCCCCAATGTGCCATCTCCGATGCTCGCTATCCAATCAGCAAAAGCGGCTAGCTCGTCACGTTCATTCGAATCGCCAATGCTCTGAAGACGCATGTTCTTTGTAAGTCTAAGCACAGTACAGTCTCCCCAAATGGTAGAAGAATTAATAGCAGCATTAACAATCTCCTGACGATTCCCCTTCGGAACTACAGGCAGGATTTGTCGAAAGTCTCCACCAAACACAACAGTCTTGCCTCCGAACGGTTTATGATGATTTGTCGGGTCGATTGCTCCCATTATTGCCTTAAAAGAAGCTTGAACAGCTTCAAAACAATGCTTGTGCATCATAGGGGCCTCATCCCATATGATCAACGAAGAGCGAATAATCAACTCTGCAAGGGGGCTAGCCTGATTGATATCACACGATGAATTTTCATGCACAGAAGGAGGAATGCCAAATCGAGAATGTGCAGTGCGACCGCCCGGCAACAGGAGAGATGCTATTCCACTTGATGCAACACAAAGAACAATTCGACCACGCGATCTTAGCCCAGCAGCTAAAGTCCTCCACAAGTATGTCTTGCCAGTTCCACCATAACCATAAACAAAAAACACGCCGCTCCTACCGGAATCAACAGATGTCATTATTCTGGAATAAACACCCTTCTGTTCATCGGTCATATGTGTCAGCAATTCATCATGCTCATTAGCTAGAGCCTTACGGTCATAGTTAAGTTCATCCATAACCAGACGGTTAACACTTGAATTCATACTACTCATATCTGGAAAAGGCATAGTAGAATAGTCCCGAAGGCTTGTGCCACGATGTCTCAATAATGTCTCAATCTCTGCAAGAGCTAAATTTTTTATATCTGCATCACCCAGCTTCAAATCTGAAATAATGATAGATGACCTATTAGATTTGGCTTTTTTACGTGGAAAACAAAAAAATTTAATAATTAAGAAAAATAATGTTATTATAATACTTGATAAATGCATAATATAAAACCCCCTAAATCTCATACCAGCATTATCAAAAAGACGACGTTGCTTGTATAGTATGTCGTCAGATAGAAATTGCCAACACCGTTCCCAAACTTCATCGGGTTTGCCTAAGGATCCAGAAACCAATAAAGACGCAAACATGCGCCTAAGGGAATCAGCAGATGCCCACTGACTTGCTTCGCTAATTCCATCAATGTACTCTCGATCATCACCCAACAAACCTCGTGCATAGCAAGCATCGCGGTAGGACATGTATTGAACATCACCTACCTTCATATAATCCTCGTGGCAAGTAGCTCCACGAACAACATTGACCAAACACCTCAAATAATAATTATCACCAACATTGGGAGGAACATAGCTCAAACGACCTATACAACCTGGCCTTATTCGAGGAGTCCAGACTCTTTCTTGTTTGTTCCAAACAAATTTGGACGGCGCCTCAACATACGTCAGTTTCCTCGCCTCGGGATACATCTTGTTCGCTTCCATCCATGCCAAAAATTGGCTCTCATTGACGGTGGGATTATTAAGAACTTCATCGATAGGATCATCATCATAAAAAACAATATTATGTTCACCTTTCAAATGGAAACTCAGACGTTGCACAGAAGGTTTTTTGTACTGGAGTTCATAACCCAATAGCCTCCACGCCGCCTCGCAAGAAGACACATACCGACAGTCATAGAACATGTTGATCTCGTCAACAGGTTTTTCTATTTCTCCATACGCAGTCGTCTGATAGAATGATGCGGTGACACGATCATGACCTTTATTGACGTACTTGAAAAGGTACTTTATGGATCGCGATTGATTACACCACTCGACGTTAATATGCGCTTCATATTTCATCAACAATTTGCGATTGTTAGGCACGACATAACCATTATGGACAACGACCCCATTTTTTTCAATATGCCTCCCATCGTCTCGACGTCTGTATCGTGGATAACCTTCATGGTCGACAGTGGTTAAATCGACAAACTTTTTTAGAAACCTACTACATTTGCCATCCACCATGCACGGAGACAATTTTCTAGCCAAACCACAAGGTCCGTGGATCATGTGCTCTTTTACTGCCTCATAATACAACGGATCCGACGTCTCATCAGGTATCTCCGCAGATATTACTCTGTCAATGTCTGACGGATTTGGGAATTTATTTTCTTTGGCGAGAAATAGTAGTATATGAGCATGCGGCAATCCACGCTTCTGAAATTCAATGGTGTAGACAACTACAAAAACACAAAAGAAGATAAAACAATTAGAACAATTTTTAAAATGGTGTTAGACATCACGATGGACATATATACAACCGTTTTTTTCTTCTTAAAATAATACCTGCTACGACTTTCCCGAAAATTTGCTTTTTACGAAAATCCCTGATTAATTCCTTCAATTTTGATTTGAAAACCCTACATATAATATCGGGGCGATCCTCAGGTCGCAGTCTCTTTGGTTCCAAAAAACGAACAATCCCAGGCCATTTTGGATTGCATGTGAATGTTACAAACAAATCGGGATAACCTGCCCAACCACAAATTGCCATTGCATCCTGATAGTTTTGAATCATGTTTCGAGGTCCCCCAGTGAATGAAGAAGGAACTATAATTCTTTTTCCTCTAGAGCTTGGATCGACATCGCCCTGAAGAATTGCATCCGCCAATCTATTATACATATCACATCGGAGTCGACACTGATTGAATCGTATATACCGCAACCTCGATGATTCAACCATGGTATATGCATCAACGACAAACTGCTGAAACAATCTTCTCGCTGAAAGAATAGTAGATGGTTCGTGTTTCCGATCATGGATCCGGTACGCAAAGTATTCTCGGACACTCACTGTTTTTCGACCACGCTCTTTTTCAACTTTTCGATTTGAAAATGGAATGTCTTCTCTATAGTCATCCTCACCGTAGGGCAAAAGAAGGGGATATTGTAAAGCCAGATATGAAGCATTAAGCTCATTTATTCGCTGTAGTCGCCCACTCTTGGTTTCAACCAATATATCTCGCTCACCCATAGCCTGATCAAAATCTCCAACGACCAAAACAGCAACTTCAGAACTCGTAGGCAAGTTATAACGTCTGGCATCATTAAATCTCCTTCCAATTAAACGAATCCTGACATTAGATTCACCATGATCTTGAATTCTTTCTCTAGCCAAACGAAATGATTTCACAAGTTCGTTATGCTCATCCAACATGGTCGTCAATCCAGAAATAATTTCTCCATTCAAATCAGTAGCACCGTCAACATTTCTGAAAAATGAAAAAATGTTAATAAGGCAATCAAATAAAATATTATAAAAGAAAAATAATAAAAAACTCGATTAAGGATATTATTTAAATACTGACCTCACGGCATTCATTCTATTCGTTACTTCATTATCAGTGTCATATATATAGAGCTGTGCAAATTTTGGAGTTGAACCTTCAGAAGGAAGTAAACTACCCATGAGATGGTAGTTTTGCCCGTGCAAACTAAAAACGGGTGGTCCCGATCCTTTGTTGATGTCGGTATTGATCTTGCCTCCCAGAGAAGTAAACCCGAACATGCTGTTGTAGGATCTAATGTTTTCTTGAAAGTGTTTGCTAACGCGGCTATCTCCATGTAGCAATTCACTCAAAAATTGTGGCGGATTATGTAGAACAGGAAGTTCAATGATACCATTCACACAGCAACCAGAGTACATGGTAACGGCAGACGTTCTCTCAGAAATCTTTCTCTCGGCATACCAAAACATTGCTCCACAGTACACGCATTCGACATTGGCATCACCCATGTCCCAGTACTCTGCAATTGTTTTGATGAAAAATATTATAATATTATATAATAAAATCAATTTACAAAATTTGTCATAAAATAAAAATTTAAATTATAACCAACCAGATCGTGTTCCTCCCCCTTTCGAAACCCTCCCCCTAAACTCGGCGTCGTCTTCAATTTGCAGCAGCTTCGCCCTCCTCTGCCGGCATCGAGCTTAGCCGGAGGTTGCTGGCCCACAATTGTCTGGTTCCCGCCCCTTCTTTACCGCTTCACTACCCCTTTTCCATGGCTCCAGATCTCTTCGGCCGCGAGTGGGTTTTCCTTTTCCGGCGACCGCTCGTTAATTCCGGTTGGGGGCCGCTAGTTCAAGTGGTGGTGGAGCCGTTGTGCGGTTCCTGGGGCGGGACACTGCTTGCTTTCTCGGCGATTTTGCTGGGCGGCCTAAGCGGTGAAGGTACTCACGGCCATCTCTCTTTTTTCTCGTTTTACGGGTCGATGGGGGCTGCTGCGATGACAGTTCTTCCTTCAGCAAGACTGGTTGGAGTGTTGTTGCGGCGTATTGGTGGTGGTTGGGTAGCTCCCAGGCGGTTTCGGGGTCGGGACCGGGCCGTGGCATTCTTTTGCCTGTTTGGGGCGCTTGGGTGTTGTGGTCGTGGTGCTTGTTGGCCTGGTGTGGTTTCGGAGTTAGGGTTTCGTCTTTGTTAGGCACCCGAGTGGGTTTGGCAGTTTCGGAGTTGATGCTTCTACTTTGGGATCCGTGGTTGACTGGTTTCCGATGGTTTGGATCGTTGTTGATGCTTAGGAGGGGCTTGTTTATTTTGTGTTGTTTTGTTTTGCTCTTAGTTTGTGATCATGTGTGATATCTTGTATTGTTTGTGTTAGTTTGTGTTGTTGTGTTGATTAGGTCGTGTTTTAAGTTTGGGTCGTTGGCCCCTGTGTGCCCGAGTGTCATTTTCATTACTCTGTTGGAGTCCGACACTCGGGAATGGCCCTGATGAGGCCTTTGTGTTGTTAGTTGGTGTTTTTGTTAGTGTTCTTGAGTTTACCCCGTTGGGGTCGGTTCTAGGCAGGCATTTGTCCTGTTCTCCCAGTTTTTAGCTATTGGCTGCTTGTACTCAGCTGTTGGCTGGTTGTGATCAGCTTGTAGCTGCATTCTGCACTTTTGTGCGTTATATATAATATCCCTATCGTTTCGTCAAAAAAAAAAAAAAAAAGTGATCCAATATCTCACTCGATATAGTTGGGTATGGCGTTGGATTGACAGTTATTTTTTCATTGTCTAAAAAACGTAAATAATTGAAAAACATTTTGTTTAAAAAAAGTATACATAAATATACTGCAATAAGTGATAAATCAATTATTTAAATAACAACATACCGGTTTGTGTGGACGTACTTCCTATAACCTTTTTAGGTCGACCACGCTTTCTTTTAAGTTCCGTAAGTGGTAGTTGACCGTCAGCAATGTCATCCAATAACTCACTCGATATATTCGTGTATGGAGTTGGAGTGACGGTGATTTTTTCAAGTTCTAGAAAACGTGAGCAGTTAAAATATATTTACTTAAAAAAATTATACTGAAATATCCTGCAATAAGTGATAAATTAATTTGTTAAATAACAACATACCTGTTGGTGTGGAGGTATTTCCTATAATTTTTTTAGGTCGACCACGTTTTCTTTTAAGAGTCGTAACTGTTACTTGATCGTCCGCACAATGATCGAATATCTCACTTGAAATAGTAGTGTTTGAAGTGCCGGTTATTTTTTCAAGACCTGGAAAACATAGAAAATTACAAAATATTTGACATTAAAAAAAAAAAAATTACACTGCACTAAGTGATAAATCTAATATTGAAATAACAACATACCAGTCTGTGCCGACGTATTTCCTAAAATCTTTTTAGGTCGACCACGGTTTCTTTTAACAGTCGTAAGTGGTACTTCAGCGTCAGCTCGGTCATTCAATATCTCAGCATGGGAATCAATAACTACAATAATTCAAACATAATAGTTATAAAAGGGCACTATTTGAAATTAAAAAAATACATAAAAATAAACAAAACATCCAGATGGACATTTTTTATTACCTTGTGGTTGCTTGAATATACTATCAGGACTAAGAAGCAAAATGTCGTTAACATCGTCATTGTTAAGATCAATGAAGGATGACAGTCCTAAATTTTCTACAAGTAATTATAATAACAAATACATATATCACACTTAGTAATATATAAATATTTATTTATTAATGTTTAAATAAATACACTATTAAATGATAAATTATTTTTTAATATTTTTTACCATTGGTGATGTTTGACAATGGCACATTTTGAGTAGTATGCAATACACTTCGATATTGATATGAAACACTGCCCAAACGATTGTTGTTTTCTTCACGAATAAATGATGCTCCACTGATAAGAGATGGTGTACAAATTCCTGTAGAAAAATAATCTTCATAATATAAAGCAACTATTAATATAAAAACTTATAATATGTTAATAATTCATTATAAAAATAAAAATTATACACAAATAAGATAAAAATAGATACACAAAATATTGTACAATTAAAAATTATTATTAGAAAATTTATTGAGAAAATATAAATTAAAAATTTATTTTATAAGTGTGGCCTAAATAATATTTCCTTATTTTATATAGACCATGAATTAAAGCACAATTTCATAGTATAAAAATATTTTTGAAACTTAATCTAATGGGATAAATAATTACAGTATTTGGGCTTAATAGGTAAAACCCAAATAACTTTACATGTAATCGGGCCGCATGTTTTGTTAAATAATTTGGCCCAAACTCTAAATCATACAATTGGGCCAAGATTTTCGTTTTCATCCCAACTTTGGCCTTTATCAGATTTTTTTTTTTAGTCCAATTCGCGATCGGACGGCCAGAACTTGTTCAGTAATATTGAACGGCTGATATTACATAAAAAATGGTATAAAATGCAATTTTGCACCGATAGGGTTTTCATTTCTTATCTCTCTCCGATTTCGTCGCCGCTTGGACCTCTCTCTCTTACCCTATCATTTCCTCTTTCTCTCCGATTTCGTCGCCGCTTGGATCTATCTCTCTCTCGATTTTTTTGTCCGAAATTGATATTTCCTTTACAAATCTGTTTTGAAAATATCGACCGAATTTTGTAAGCCTTCTAATTTTGTAAATATCGACCAAATCGATTTCATTTTTCACAAGATTTTTTTTGATTTATCAAAAAAATAAGTGAAAATTGAAATAGGTATCGATATTTACCTCCGATCACGGCGATTAAATTAAATCCAAGATCTGGTTGGGCACATGTGAAAAACGTAAGAACCACTACCATTGGAATTTTTTTTTTTAAGTTTCATTTTCGAATTTGTTGTAATTAACTGAAAATTGTATGTTTATGGTAGATCTAAAATTTTTGAAATTGTTTTCAAATGTTCCTTGTGTAAATCTGAAAAAAAAAAAAATTGTTTGTTGTTTGGTTTCTAACTGATTGTGGTTCAAATCCTCTAACTTTGTTGGATTATATGTATATTGAAAGCATATAATTTTTTTGTGAGACTTGTTCGAATTTTGCGAAACATGTCTCAATTTTTTGTCTCTCTGAGTGAAGAGCGCATTTGATTAATACATGCATGAACTAATGTTTTGAAATTAGTATAAGATATAAGATTATATCCTCATATAATGTTTTTTTCAACAATTTATAAACTTTTGATTTCAAAACGGAATTTTAGACTGGCATGTGGTTCGAAATATTTGATAGCATCGAAATATATGTATGTTGATAGCATATAGTTTTTTTGTGACACTTGTTTGAATTCTGTAAAACTTTGTTGAATTTTCTGTCTGTCTGACTGAAGAGCACATTTGATTAACAAATGGATGATCAAATTCTTTGAAATTGGTATTGTAAATGAATGGTTGGTATATTTCAAATGTGTAATACTAAATATGATCACACAGATTTAGATTTTTCACTTGAATTTGTTTAGAGTACATGTTCTAAGTTCAACTGTAAGTTCAATCTTTAAATTCTAACCAATTTCTTTTAATGCATGAGAATACTCGGAGCAAGGACATTGGTTGAATTACACTAAGCAGCAGAATACACGGAGAACACCAATAACATATCAGCTAACCTACTGGAGGGATCTGAAGGTAGAACAATAAAGTGCATAACTATCTGTAGCAAAAGTGTTCATCGACATCAAAAGGTAAATATACGGTTCAAGTCACCAATAACAATACTTCAGTTTACACAAATAATATCCCACTAACAATACTTCATTTTACACAACTATAAAGTATCCAGGCCCTAAGTCACCAGCAGCAGATCAATACTTATATATGTTAGTGTTCATAAGCTATATTATTTATATTTTTAGAAAAAAAAAAAAAACNTTAGGGGAAAAAAATTGCTATTAATAAGAAGTAAATTAATGCTAACTAACTTCGACTAATAATTTGAGCTGCCATTTTTAAAAAATGATAATTCTTATTATATATATATATATTCAAACTTAATTATTTATGTGTTAGAAGTAAATTAAAAGTTATCCAAGTTAAAGTGACGAAGTATAAAATTTTGTCAAATAGGACCACGAAACTTGCGAGTCTACCACTTATGTTCAGCACATTCAAAATAGAGGGATTTTTAGTGGCAATCCCTTTTTTCTATTAAAAAAAAAAAAATCTAACGCCAATCATGACAATTTCATGTGGTAAATAACCACGAAAACGATTACCCATGCCAGAAATCAAACCAAGAACTGCAGAACAAAAGTAAAAAAGAGAAGAACTATAAAATAAAAAGTACAGCATGATTCAAAGTTTCATAATAGTACTGGAAATCTACTTACCAACCAAAAAAAAAAAAACCAATTTACTTTCAGCTGCAAGCAAAATAATGAGGATACTCCAGGTACAAAATGAGAAATGCAGCTGAGAGTTACCTTCTTTGTAGTTTGTACACCTTAAATCCACTCCATGGATGAAAAACAAAAACCACCATCTTAATTTACCATCCAAAGTAACCCACATTCAAATCGGACCCTAGACCCAAACTGCGCCTAGCCCACTCAAACAGCCTGCCGCGCCCAAGCCCATTTTCTAGGCCCGACCCACGAATGGCCGACCTCCTCATGCTCTGCACGTCACTAGTGTTCCTCTCACTCTCCAACTTCTTCCATTTCTCGGCCTGCGTGGGGTCCACTTCCCGGGGCCTCCCCAAAGGGTGCTCCGACTTCACGTGCCTCTTCATCTGTTTATATGTCCCGGAAAACGAGCAATCGTGATGTGCACAGTTTCTTTTCCTTAAGTTGAGGAGTTTGCGTTCGGGTTTGACCACGGTCCACCCTTTGACCTGTCCACGGCAGAGAGGGCACGGGACCTCATCTTGTTCGAAATCAACATCATCATCATTGGCGTAGGCTTTGGTGTATTGTTCAAGGCAGTTTGAAAATTGGTGGCTGGTAGCGCACATGTAGGGTCGGCACCCATTTTCGTGAGACGAGCAGAGTAAGACGACTGCATTGTGGGGAGACTCCAGGCAGACGGAGCATACAGCGTTTTCCAATTCTTTGTTCTCCGATGGCTTGCACTTGTTTGATGATTTTTTCACGGATAGGGAGTTGGTTTTTCCCTTTCTCTGCAGCTTGTTGGATTTTGCCATTTGTTTGATAGGAAAAAAACTTAACTGCACCAACCGAAAAAAAATAATCGAACCACAAGGGGTAAACAAGAACAAATGTGCAATCATCGAAATAAGATTAGTATCTTCTTTCCCTCCACGATTAGTTAAAGAAGTAAATATGTTAGTGCTTCTCTTTGCGCAGTGTGATAGATTTGTGTGGGAATCTATGATAAAATTAAAGATTATTATAAAACCATGCTATAAATTTTATGACCCAACCACAAGATAGAAAATTAACCTTCTTTTTTTCCGACAGGCAACAGGATTTGTTGAGTCAAACGGAACGAAATGGCTTTTAGACAACAAGAGTTCTTTCAGTGGGGCAAAACGTTTTTTCAGTAAACTAAGATGGTTGCAAGTAACTTTGAAAAGGTTCACCTTTCAAAAGATATCAGTTAGTATAACATACACAGACTAACTACGGGTAATAGCTAATACCAAATAGTTACTGAATTTTCACAACACTAATCACAAACAACACATTTTCTTTTTCAAATTACATATATACGGAGCACGGACTCCATCCACTGCTGAGCCCTAAACACATTTGAAATAAACTAAAGCAGTTATTAGAAATGCAATTAGTTAAAGACAACTTCCGCCGATCAACATCAATCAATATCAAACTTAACTTTGTTAAATCATAAGCATATAGATCAAACTTTGCTTAACACAACACCTACGCGACTACGCCATAAACCCAAGTAAACTGAGGGAAAGTTATCACCATTTGGCACAACCAAAAGTAGCCAGAGTTTTCAGTCCACTAACAGCAAAAGCAACAGTCTAACAAGTCAATATTTTCTTGGGCAAAAACATAGCATCAAATTCAAACATCAACCAGAAAAACAAAGCATTCTATTCACAACCACCTCACTGTTCAGACAACTCTTACCAGAATATAGAAGTCAAAAACATAATTCAGGGAAAACCCTTTACACTACAAGCAGCAGAAATGATGAGTTAATGAAGGATAACAAATAAAGGGGAAAAAGAACATGCCCTTATCTTCCTTTCTATTTTCTTTTCTAAAAGCAAGAATTTAATGGGCTATTCGATTCTAAACAATAAACCCATTATCATATCCATGGAGCAATTAAAAGAACCTACAGTATAGGAGATTTGAAATCAAGTTTACCTGAAAATGAAGAAGTGTAGAGATTCAATCTTTAGTGGAGCAAATGTAAATCGTGAAAAAATTAAACGGGAGCAGCCAAATTTGATGGGGTTTTTTCACTGGGGTTTTCGTTTTTCTCTTTCAGAATTATAGTTGAGCATTGTATTGAACTATTTATGCTTTTGAGAAATTTCTTCGGGAACGAAAATTTTATGGTGTGATGGGATATAAAAATAAAAATTCTAATAAAAATCAATCACTTTTCACTGCTTTTTAAATTAAATTCTAATTAAAATTGTACTCAATCATATTATTTTTAATATTATTAGTACTTAAGTAATATTAATTAATTATCCTTACACACTACATTAATTTAGTTCATTATTCATTCACTCACATAATGTTAGGGGGTGATTGTTTATGGATTCAACTAGTTTTTATTTGGTTTGTTTTTAATTATAGTTAATTTTGAAAAAAAAGAAGTATGATTAGTTGTTAATAGATATATTAAAATAATATTTAAATAAAATAATTAAAGTTGATTTGATGTAAAGTATGAAAAAATTATTGGAAGTGATAGTTAAAATTATGTGAGTGGATGAATAGTGAATTAAAGTTGATTTTATGTGTAAGAATAATTGGATGATATTATTTAATTATATTGGTAATATTAAAGATAGTAAGGTTGAGTTAAAGTTGAGTTAAATTTGAGTTTTTGATTGGTTTTTTACTATTCAATTTATATCCAATCGCCCCCTTAACTATTCATCACTTCTGATTACCTCTCTCACACTTATATAAATCAACTTTAATAATTTTATTTTAAATATTATTTTATTTTATTATTTTTCAAAACGTTAGATTTTATAACAAAAACAAATAGATATAACTAGACATCAATCAGAATAAGTCAAACGACTATCGAGTCTAATCTAGCAGGAGGACTATACACATAAGTGCATCCTAGAATTAGCCAAGTTAACTCACCCACTACACAAAAAATTATACACTCCCATAAAGAGATAATCAAACTTCTAAAGAGAAGAATCACACTTCTAAAGAGAAGAATTAAACAGCACGCTAACAACACCCAAAACAACACAAAACGAAAATAAACACACGATACTGTAATAAACCCTTCCCCCAACCGGCAACAAACTGCAAAACCACGAACATAGCACCCGAAGACGACCGCCCACACGGATAGGAACCCAGCTCTAATATAGTTCCAAAAACTTCAGAGATGACTAACTCCACTAATTGAAACCACACCAAACGGCCAAATTTCTCACCCGAGTGGACTACCCCTGACCAGCTCCTCTTCCCACACACCAACCAAGAACTGCGGGCACCAAACACAACCAACAACCCGTAGCCCACACCCGGCCCAACTTCCAAGCACCAGGGAAACGGTAGGAGCCAACTTCAAGGAGACGGTAGGAGCCATCCCCTCGACCCCTCTCGACACTCGCCTGAAACTCATCTGGACATAATCGACCGACAAGAGCGGCGAAATACTACATTGAAAGGGACAAACGACGCTTTTAGAGACGAGCAGCACAGACCGGTGACGGCCGACGCCGTGGCGTTGCGGAGAGCCCGAAAGGTGGGAGGCGCCAGCGGAACTGAAGCAAGGGATTTCTGATTTGCGATTTGGGGGAAATCGCAAGAGAGAAAATTTGAGTGAGTAAACTAAGAGGTTCTTTTCAATATTGTTTTATTACAAACTCAGCATCTACTTAAATTTAACTCAACACACCTTTTCAAAATTAGCTATGCTTAACCCACAAAAAAAAAAAAAACCAATCCAATCACAAATCTATATCCAATCACACCATTACTAAAACGACAATCACTTTTATAGGACATGGTAGGAAATTTCTCTCTCTTTGAGAGTTGTTCTTCTCTCGTCTGAGAGTGTTTTTCTCTATTTGTTAGAGATCTGATCTCTTGTACTGAGAGTGGGGTTTAGCGATCAACTGTTGAGGTTTTCTGGGTGCGACTTTCTTTGGGTTTCTCTGGGCTAGGGCGATGGGTTCGGAGAATGATGAAGTAGCAATAGATGCACTCATGGAGAAGTTCAACTTATCCGAACGGGAAGATTCATAGACATAGAGGATAGAGATGTGAGATCCAGTGCGGAGGAATGCCGGCGAAGTTTATTTGGGAAAGTGATTGGAGATAAAAGAGCTAACTGGATCGGGATTAGAAGAGCGATGGCTCAAGCCTGGAGAGTGGGCAATGCACTGGAGGTACGTGAGCTGGAATGTAATTTTTTTCAGTTCATCTTCCAATCTATTAAAGAGAAAGAGAAAGTGGCCATTGATAGGAACTGGGTCTTTGATGGGCAATACTTAATCCTACACGAATGGAAGGATAGAATCCAGAGTAATGATGAATGTTTTCAATACATAAACTTATGGGTACAAGTTCATAATGTACCCTTGAATTGGTTGAGTACCTTGGTGGGTCTAAAGCTGAAAAGAATGTTCAGAGGTATTAAAAATGTCCATATTGCAAGAGTGGGAAATCAAGGAGGAAGAGTTCTTAGGATCCTGGCGACTGTTGACATTTCAGAAGCGATACCTAGATGGGCGAAGATAAGATTAGGAGATGAGGTTGTGGTGGTGCAATTTAAATATGAGAAACTGCTAAACTTGTGTTACTATTGCGGCAAGATCGGACACTCTGGCAAGAACTGTAAGAGGAGAATTGTGGATATTGACACAGATAATCTTGAGGAAGGGCAGTATGGGGAATGGGTTAAGGCTGCTGAAGGGGCCCACTGGACTGAATCACCAAATCAGAGCAATCATACTGAAACTCAAGAATAGCAGACAGAGCGTTCTCCTGAAAAAGGGATCGGTTCAAAGGAGATACTTGATGAAGTGGGCTCTTCAAGCAAGATGGACGGCCAACAGATAGGAGCTCTCCAATCAAAAGAGATCCAAATGCAGTATAATAATATTAATGAGCTGGTAGGGCCATACACAGTTGATGTTCCTCTTCAAGTGCTGCAGGAGGTACCACCACCTACATTACCAGATTCTCAGAAGGCTCTGATATTAGTGGGACCTCCAAGAGACGGAATGATCACAGCTATGGGTACTGTTGGAGTAGTAGATGGCAATCCAAATCATGATTTAAAAAAACCCAGAACTTGGAAGAGGACAGCAACTAAGACAGGCAGGCTGAAGAGAAAGCAAAGCAACTCAGAGGAAACTAGCTCAACAAAGGAGAAGAAAAGAGGGTCACCAGAGCAAGGAATAATATTGGATCCTCATTCACAGACACAAGAAGCAGAAGGCAAAGGAAAGAAGCCAAAAACTCTAGATCTGATGGTGCAGGCAGCCAGCCAAAAATGGCTCCCACCTCACCAATGAAGGCCATGGTGTGGAATTGTAGAGGACTGGGTGGGCCCTCTACAGTTCCCCAATTGCGAGAGGCTTGCAAGTCTCACCATCCAACCTTTGTGTTCCTATCAGAGGTCAAGAATCAGGTACCTTTTGTGTCTAAAACTTGTCAGAAATTGGGTTTTGAAGGAAGATGGATATATGAAGTACCCCAGGGTACAAAAGGAGGGTTATTGCTTTGTTGGGATAAGAATGTGAACATTCTAGCAGTGGTGTGTAATGAGTTTTGCATGCAAGTGCAGTTCTTTGAAGAAGATCCAGCTGGTGGTGAATGGGCTATTTTTGTGTACCTTAGCACTCTCAAGCAGGAAAGGGGTCTCCAATGGGAATTTCTGCTTAATGAAAAGAATAAATGGGGGGATAAGTGGGTGATAATGGGGGACTGGAATGACCTGAGTAATCCAGAAGAGAAAAGGGGAGGTACAACCAGAACTATGATGAGCTATCAGGATTTTAATAGCTTTATTGCTCAAATGGGGATGTATTTGCTTAGAATGGAGGGTCACAAATACACTTGGGGTAATAACAGAGCTGAGGAGGGTTTTGTGGAAGAGGTTTTGGATAAAGGCTATGCATCTCTGGATTGGGTCTTTAAGCACCCTCATGCTAAAATCACAAATTTGTTTATGAGTGCTTCGGATCATGGGATGTTGTTTCTGGAAGTAGATAGAGGGAGGGTTCAGTGTAAGAGAAGATTTGTTTTTGATAAAAGGTGGCTTCAAAAAGATGGAATTCAGGAGGTGGTCAAGAATGCCTGGGAGGAAGAAACAGGAGGAACACCCATGTTCAGTCTGAAAGAAAAGATTAAGAAGACAAGGGTTGCTCTTTTTCAGTGGGCCAAAGCTTGCAAGAGTGGACACAAAGCAGACATTGAGAAGTTGACTTTGAAGCTAGAGGAAATGAGGGCTCTTGGAGGAGATAGAAATTGGGCTGAGTGGGAAAAGCTACAGAAAGAGTTGAATGCAGCACATTGCTCAGAGGAGATTTTCTGGCAACAAAAAGCTAGGATTTTATGGTTCAAAGAGGGAGACTCCAATACTAAATTCTTTCATGCCATGACAGTTCAAAGGAGAAAGCAAAATGCTATCACTAGACTGGTGGAGGGAGACAGAATTTTTCAAACTCAAAGTGCAATTGAAGGGCATGTGGTGAACTTTTATGAGACACTCTTTACTTCGGAGGGATCTGGTCAGGCAGCAGAAGCCTTACAGCACATTGTTCAAGTTATCACACCTCAAATGAACAGTAGATTAACTGCCTCAGTGGGGGAACTGGAAATTCAGAAAGCTTTGTTTCAAATGAATCCTTCAAAGGCACCGGGTGAGGATGGGATGACAGCTTTGTTTTTTCAACATTTCTGGCCAGTGATCAAAGATGACCTTTGCAATGCAGTGTCCAGCTTTTTTCAATCAGGCAGATTGTTGAGGTATTGGAATCATACCCTTGTTGCTTTAATCCCTAAATGTGTCCAGCCAAACTCAATTTCACAGTTCAGACCCATTAGCTTGTGTGGGGTGGTGTACAAGATTATTACAAAAATTCTTGCTACTAGATTGAGGAGTTGTCTGGATATCTGTATTAGTCAAGCTCAGGCTGCTTTCATACCAGGCAGGCAATTAGTTGATAATGTGATAATAGCTCAGGAATGCTTCCACTATCTTAATAGACATAGGTCTGGGAGTAACTGTTTTTTGGCCTTGAAGTTGGATATGCTCAAAGCTTATGATAGGGTGGAGTGGGGGTGTATTAGCAGTACTATGTTGAAAATGGGCTTTGACATTAAATTTGTGCAGTGGGTGATGTCATGTGTTTCTTCTCCTACTTTCTCCTTCTTAGTTAATGGCAACACATCCGGGTATGTTAAGTCCACAAGAGGAATTAGACAAGGAGATCCAATATCTCCCTATCTTTTTCTGTTGGTCTCTGAAGTTTTCTCATCACTGATTAAAGGGGCTGCTGAGAATGGTAGGTTTAAGGGTCTCAGAATTGCTAGAGAAAGCCCAACACTGACACATCTGCTATTTGCTGATGATTCATTAGTCTTCTGTAAGGCTGATATGAATCAAGTGAGGTGCTTATTGAATATTTTGGCTATATACCAGAGATTCTCAGGACAGAAAGTAAATCTTACAGAGTCCTTAGTATTTTTCAGTAGAAATACTCCTGCTCAATTACAAGGTAGAATTTGCACAATGCTGACTGGTATCCAGGTTCACACCTCCACTAGATACCTTGGACTTCCCTTGGGTATAGGAAAGTCTAAGAAGGAGACTTTTGACTATGTGGTCCAAGCAGTTAGAAGCAGACTGTCCAACTGGAAGAGCAGACACCTTTCTACAGCAGGTAAAGAAGTTCTCATAAAAGCTGTTATCAATGCCTTACCAGTATTTTCGATGTCTTGCTTCAAGTTACCATTGGGTATTTGTGAAGAACTCAGTAGACTCACTGCCTGCTTCTGGTGGGGCAAAGGAAAAGGTCAAGAGAGAGGGTAACATTGGAAGAAGTGGAGCAATATTACTATTCCTAAAGGTGATGGTGGATTGGGCTTCCAGGACTACAAACTCTTCAATGAAGCTATGCTGCTCAAGCAACTATGGAGGGTCACTACTATGCCTGAGTTGTTAATGAGTCAAGTCATCAAAAGCAGGTATTTTCCAGGCTCTTCTATCTTTGATGTGAAAAAAAGCCAATCAGGTTCATGGATGTGGAATAGTTGGGTTGAGATGATTCCTTTCTTTGCTACTGGATTACTTAGAGAGGTGCATGATGGTAAAACAACAAAAATTCTGAGTCATAATTGGGTGCCTGGCCTGAATCATAAGTGTCCTTCTATTAAACCATCTGTCCATCTGCCTGGAGTTTGGGTGAGTGATCTACTTGATGACACTGGCCAGAGGTGGAATGATAAAATTCTGGGTGAGGTCTTTCCTGATAGTGTTAGAGCAGAAATCTTGAAAATATCTTCTTTAGATCCCACTAAACCAGATGTTTGGAAATGGTCTTATGATGTTAAAGGTCACTTCTCAGTGGCAAATTCCTACTCTCAACTAATGAAAATTAAAACACAACAACTTATTGAGGCTGAGAGTAGTAGAGATGCAGGAAGGAGGCCAATTGTGAGACGCAGAACTTGGCAGCTTAAGGTGAAAGGCAAGGTGAAACATTTTCTTTGGAAATGTTACAATGATGTGCTGCCAGTGGGATTGAACATTAAGAAGAGGGGCATGGAGATAGACTGTATATGCAGGATGTGTGGTGAAGAGTTGGAATCTGTGGAGCATTTACTCATCCATTGCAGCAGAGCTCAGAAGGTCTGGAAAATGACTCCACTGACTTGGGAAAAGGAGGAGGAAGGTCAGATTTCCTTCAGACTGTGGTGGAACAATGTGTGCTCTGTGGACAAATCTGAAGTAGCAGAAGAAAGAATTCAACTCTCAACTTACATTTTGTGGTGGCTGTGGAGGTCCAGGAACTTATGGCTGTTTGAGAAGACCTGGATGCCTGAAGAAATCATTGCTAAAGGGGCTTGGAGAGAATGGAAAGAATGGGCTGAAGTTGGTCACTAGTTTGAGGAGTATGGTTTCTGCTTTTGTTTTGTTTTAGGTTCAGTTGTGTTGTGTAGTCTTTGTTCCTTTCGGTTTTTGTCTTTAGTTTTCTTTTGCTGCTTGTGTCTGTTATTATTTGTGTGGTTTAGCTGGTTAGAGTGTGGTTGTCGGGTAAGGTCTCGGTGGTTGCATCCCCGCCTTAGTCGTTGGTTTTATTGTGTCTCTAGACCACTTGCTTAGTGGGTCTCCCATGGTTATTTGTATGTATGAACTCTTTGGACTTGCTCCGTTTTATATCGTTTGGAAAAAAAAAATCACACCATTACCAACCTGAACTTCACGGATTTTTTGGGTTTGCAACCTAAACTTTCAGTTTTGACACATTGCAACCACAATTATACGTAATTGGCCATTACCAACCTTGGCTTAATGGTGCAAGGCGATCGAAAAGCTCCTCCAAGGTCGCTGGCAAGTTTGGTAAGGGTAAATTTATAATTTTACCTGATATGATGGCAATATATTGAAATCATAATAGAATTCATCCCCAATTTCTTGAATCAACCCTTCATCCCTAAACCCATCATTTGGCACTTTAAAAAAAATCAGCGAAATGGTTTGGAAAATTCGTGACCAATGAATTCCTATTCCAACTGATAGATTGTCCCCAAATTACACAAAATTTGCTTCACTTAATCTATTATGCAATGCTGGTAGTATGAATGTGTAGTGTACGGAAATGCTCCCCTACTCACGGTGGACACATGTTAATATGTCCACTGCTTATGTGGCATGCACACATTGGTGATGTATTTTTTTTAATATATTAACATCATCAATGTGTGCATGTCACATAAGCGGTAGACATATTAACATGTGTCCACCGTGGGTATGGGAGCATTTCCCGTGTAGCGTATATTCATTTGGGGTTTCTTCGTACCTTTTGAAATTAGGTTGAGGTCCTAGAATTTAGAAGCAACAAATTTCATGATTTTTATTTCTAGGACAGTTTCTTGATTCACAATTTTCATTTTTTTTTCATCCTAATTTTTTTGCAGGTATTAGCTCCCACTTTTTTAGCTATACATTGCATCACAATGGCTCATTTGTTAATCACAATGGTAGTACAGACTACAGATTACATTGGCCCAAATTTACTATACCTCATATTGATTTTTGTGACCATGATATATCAATGGTTGAACTTCTATGTATGGCTAAGGAAGCTGGCTTATCTAGGATTAAGTCCTATTGTAGTAAAATAGAACCAACATAGTGTCGTGAGTGTTCATTCTTGAAATCGAGAGTGATATTTGTTGCATGGTTAAATTGGTTGATAAGAATAACATGATTTGGATTTATGTAGAACGTAAACATGACTTCGATGAAGATTTTTTTTTTTTCTCAACTTCCATGAGCCTTTAAATTACTATGGGGACATAGAGGTCAACTATGGATTTAGTGTTGGAAATGAAGTTGATGATGGGATAGAGAATATATCTTATGGAACATGGATTTGATAGTGGACTATGAACAGTCAGTTGGTATTTGAATTAGGTAATTTTTTTTCTTTTAGAGATTTTTTCTACACTAAAATGGCAGTTGTACTGAAGTTTTACCATTCTTTTACTCGCTAGGAATTTATGTTGAGGTTTTCCTAATTTTTCTCTTTAATTTACAATTAACAAACGACAAGCCTATGCGAGGGGTAGGATGGAATGCAGGTGAGGGACATGGGCCAAAACTCTTAACCAAGGCGGGTCACAACGGGTGGAGTGGCTAAATCGAGGCACATCATTTTCATGACAACACCAAGAAATAAAGAATTCGTAAGGCATTGAACCGACTAAGGTTTCGCAATTAAATTTAAAGGATCTTTAGTTCATATGAAATTGATCCTATGTAAAATTATATATACACAATAATTGAGGTTTCATCTGTTTGCCCCATTGAAAACAAAACACAATTAAGATCAAGACAGAACAGACAGATTATACAGCATCCTGCTCGGGCAGGACATCACACATACACGCCAAGGATGCACCGAAAGCCCCAAATAATTAAAAAAATAAAAATAAAAATCGGAACAAATTGGGCACCTGCACACTCTGCAATTATGCATGGACAAAACTAACGGACCACAGAGGTATAAGATGGCGTGCACCTTGATTGTTCATGAAGACCATTGATGAGACCTGCAGTAAGAAAAAATTGTTACAAAGAGCAATCACTTTTCAATTACACTGCAAGCAGTGAGTTTAAGGACTGCAGGCCAATCATTTTTCTCACATAGCATGAGGTTCTAGCTTAACTTTACAAATAAATAAATAAGAAAATACAATTGTTCTCCAAACTTAGATTTTCTTTCAAGTATCGAAAAATACCCACTGCTGAGGGAGCAATTTGTAAAGTAAAAACAAAAATTGTAGTTCTTACTCCCTTATTGTTATTTGCCTCTCTTGTATTTAGTTGTTGCTAAGATTGGGAGAGAGAGTCACATATTGCAAGTCAATAGCATCCAAGCAAGAATAAGTATTAGCCATTTGGTGAAGCAGTGGCATATGGTATGGTATGCACCAACTTTAAACTGGAAAAAAGAATATTCTTAATTACCGCATTTTCCTTCTTCAAAAGTGATGTTCAAATTTGCCGGCCAAAATTGTGAGGAGAGGCAGCGCCTGAAGAGGGAAAAAACGGCCGTTGCACAAAGGGATGGTCCAAGAGCTGAGCAGCTGTTGGCCGCAAAGCTGCATCAACTTGTAGACATTTAAGTATAAAGTCCCTTGCATCACTCGGAATAAAATCAGGAATAGGTGGTCTCTCGCCCTTTCCTATTTTAAATAACGCTGACATCTGTCAAATCACAGATAAAGACCAGTCAAACTTCAGATGATGGGTCACTTTCAAGGGAAGCGAGAACTATGTTTTAAGTATAAAGACTCAGTCACACATCTACTATTTATTTATAAAATTGCTTCGACAAAAGAATTGTTCTGGCTTGAACATTGGAATCTGCATTAGTCGGATTAGTATCATAGGATAGTTACTGAAAACAAAATTTCCTATTGTGGGTTACACCAAAAAAGATTATATTTACAAAATGGTCTCTCCATCATTACTATTTCTCATGATTTTTCTTCCTGTAACGTGGTCTCCTACCTAGTTGATGCTTTTACCAGTTAAAAGATACAAATTAGCACGGTCGAGAACAATAATTTTGCAAATAGGGATGTAATTAGCCAATTCCTAACAGTGTACAATAAGGTTCTAATTAGTTTTACCAGCCTGGTAAATGTGGGTGGCCACTATTTAGTGAACTGAGGTCATGATTCAGAACATAAGTTTCCCCAAATTAACCATACAAATATACAATGTGGATCATAAACTCACCATGGGTAATCACCGTATAAGAATTCATTCTTACATAACAAAGCAGGTACTAACAGAACTTAGAGGAAGTTCAAATTCAAATTCCAAGTTTCGTTTCTTACCCATTCCAGACCAAAATAAGGAAAACGTCTGGTTAACATCTCCAAGACCGTACAACCAAGACTCCATATATCAGCTGCAAGGCCATACCCCTGGCTTCGAACAACCTGCATATAGATTGATCACTGCTCATTTTTGCACCATAAAAAATTATTATTTACGCATAACCCTCATCCATTAGCTTTGATGCAGAATAAAGTGTTAGCTGTCAATGGATGAATGGAACATGAGGATGATCAAATAATATGCGGAGCCCCATCCACAATTTATTGGTTCTAGGTCACAAGGCGCCTTTGCATCTAATAGTTTCATTAGAAGCAAGATTTTGATCCGAAAATTTTGAAAAATGAATTTGTTATCCATTTTACAAATTCATGGATTTTGTATGAATCTCACTAAGTGAAAACAGCCTGGACTACGTTTCACAGAAAATCAAAGAAACTGCATATATATACACACATAAAAGCAATGGAATACACACACACACACAAAGTGATGGAAGACGAAAGAAGTTCAATGGCCTTCCAAAATCTGCAGCTTAACCTCACTGCCAATAAATAAGACATCCTATTCTCTGCTTTCAATGTTATTCACCATCTTTATCAATTAAATAAGAGAATTAATATCGAGTCACCAAGTACGTGGGAAAATGAAAGACTCCAATTCATGCAGGTTATTCACGAGTTTAAAATGGTATAGAGCCAACCTCAGGGGCCATCCAGAATGCAGTCCCCTTGCAAGACTTCGCCTCGTTCAACTTAACAGCCTATGCCATCACATAAAAATTACAAAAAAATCAATGTCATGAAAAGCACAGTGAATAAGAAAGGAGAAATACAAAGAATAAGAAATTGAACCTTGGCAAGACCAAAATCTGCAAGTTTCACCAAACCGTTTGTGTCCACCAATATATTTGCACATTTTATATCTCTGTAGTAGATGAGACAGCATATAGGAATTTAACAAGACTGAGTCAGTAAAAAATAAGGAAACCCATCAAGTTGCATATGTAATGCAGTTGATTAAGTTAATCCGAAAACTTTAGCAATGTAGTGAAGTATCGCAACAAGGTGCACGTCACTGAGAACAAATTGTTTATTTCATTTTTATCGTTTATATTCTTGAACTTTCCTTCCATGGACTTTCAACTGACACAGAATGCTTGTTCGGATCAGCCTATTTTATATTTTCCCATTATCTTATACGACTACATTACCACATGAAGCTTTAAAGTGAACAATTTCCAGGTTACGGATACATGGAAATATTACCCTTCTTTTACCAAATTTATGTAGATTATCATCTAAACCTCTGAATGAAATGCATCGTTGTGTCCATAGCTTGCCTAATTGTCAACCAGAAATGCGAAAAAAGACAGTCAGGATTAATCACCTGTGAACCACATTTCTATTGTGCAGATACTTCAAACCATGCAAAATCTGCCTTGTATACGCTGAGGCTTGTGAAACTCGGAGCTCGTATTTCTGGTATAGGCTCAAGAGGGAGCCTTTAGTAACTAGCTCAAGAAAAATATAGAGGTGTGCTTCGTCCTACAAATAAGAATGACAAAGGCATAAGACAGCACGTAATCCATCTCTCATCATTAGCAGTTGAAGGGGAGAGAAATGGAAGAATGGGTAAAAGATAATAATATAACAACCTAACACAATACAAGGGAAGAAAAACAATGTAATATTAGTACCTTCTTCGTGCCATAATATCGGACAATGTTCTCATGTTCAAACTGGCTTAGGAGAGCAATTTCCTAGAGACAGACAAAAAAGAAACAAAAATATAAAAAGAGTTGGGGAAGAACAGGATACAATCTGACACTGGTCCATTAAGAAAGTCCATAATCTGGAAACATAACTAAACATGGAGAATAAACAGCATTATTATCAGGATTGCTATACCTGTTCAAGTTGGATAATGCTCTGCTTTCCCTCATCCCCTTGATCAAGCAATGATACTTCCTTGATGGCAAAAAAGAAACCGTCACTGCAGCAAAGAGAACAGTTATAAGTTTACAGCCAAAAGAGTAGCCTGAAATTTGAGTTTTCCAGAATGCACAAGTTATGTGTTAAGTATTTTTCAAGATATTTGCAGCATAAGAAATGTTTTCCTCACATCACCAGGGTTATCCTTCAATTACAATAAATTGCAAAAGCAAAATGAGCAAAGACAGAGAAAAATTAAAAAATAGAAATTATAAAAAAGGACACACTCACAAAGATCAGTCAATATCAATCTTGATCTAAAATTTTACAATCAGTGACACTCTATCTCCCATTTTTTACTATCCGTCAAAATGGTTTACAACACCCGGAGCACACATGGAAAGGCAAATGGAATTTATGCTGAAAATTTGGGCCATTCCTCTTCCGAAAATACAGATGAAAAAATATCGGAAGAATCGCGCCCCAATGTCAAATGTGCATCATCTATGTAAAAGATTATCACGTGCACACATCATCTGTCATCAACTAAGCTATGCTAATAGAACAACATTTTTTATTCAAGGGGGGGTATAGATCAATTCAAGCTAATTGCAATTAATTCACAAATTAAGTATGCCA